AGGCCCTCAAGTGGTTTAAACTAATCTAGGAAGAATACCTTAAATGCGAGACCCTCGACGAGTATACTACCGAGACCCGCGACATCTACGCTAATTTTAAAGGATTCGAGGATGCGCTCAGGTCACTCTTCCAAGACCCCGACGAAAAGCGACAAGCCGAACGAGATCTAGCATAACTTAAGCAGACTAAGTCTACTAAAGACTACTCCGCTAATTTCCGATAACTTAGCGTTCAACTCGACCTTACCAAGGAAACCAAGATCTTCATGTTCTATCAAGGACTAAAAGACGAAGTCAAGGACGAGATTATCAAGATTGATCGACCTAACGACTTTCTCTAGTACGCCGAACTCGCTATCAAAATCGACAACCGGCTTTTCGAACGACGAAAGGAAAGAGGCGAAAAACGACAAAACCCTAACTCAGGACGTAAGTACTAGTAGCAGCCTCAGCACTAGTTTAACAACTAGCGAAACGACAATAGACCCCGCAACAACTAGAACAACCCCCGACAAAGTACTGCCTATGGTCACTATAGTAGACCAATAGACCTTAGTACTATATAGAGAAACGATAAAAAGAACGATAGTTAGAAGAAAGATAGACAGTGCTATAACTGCTAGAAGATTAGATACCTAGCATACGAATGCAGGTCACCTAAGAAGGAACGCTTCTAACCGGTACTAGAGAAACGACAAGCAAGTATCGCTACGAAGACGATCCCTCATAAACAACTCAACTGGACCACCTGCTTCGATAACAACTGCCATATCTACTCTAGTAGTAAGGAATACGCAGGATGGTACCCCTAGAAACCTTAAGAACGATCTAGTTACGACACTACTAACGCACCTAAACGGACCCTCGCTGTAGGATATAGAAGCAATAGTAAAATCGAGCGCAAGACAATCGAACAGCTCGACAGTATGAACGATAACGAGGAATTAGAATAAGACAATTAGCGAAGACTAAACCTCCTCTACGCAGGACGATAAGCCAACCTGTAGCGGATTCAACAGGACTTACAAAACCCTATATAGCAACGACAACTCGGTGCGCTAGACGCACACATCGAACGACGACAATATATACAAGGAGATCCCGCACGGATCCGCCAAATCAACTAAGAACTAGAAGAACAGGTCGAATCAGAAACGACCAAGAACACCCCCAACGACTCGGAAACACCTCGCGATGTTGCCCGCTAACATGCCCAACTAGAAGTCGCCTTTAAAGTCGCTTCAGTCAACGACACCAGCTCTGGAGAGGACTCTGACGAAGAAATACAGTGGTATCACTGCTACCAAGACCAGCGCCGAGTCTACTATATCAAGAAAGACGAAGCATAGAAGAAATAGTAAGAAAACGACGAACAAGGAACGGACGAGCAGTCAAAAAACTAGACTCGCCTACCGAAGACAAGGGACAACGACAGGCAGTCCAGACAAGGTCCCTATGTAGCGCAACGACGCCCACGACACAACGACACGAGCATGTACAAGTCTAAATACAGCTTAACGGAAGAACAGCTACCGCTATGATCGACAGCGGAGCCTAAGGAAACTTTATATTACTAAGAACGGTAAATAAAAGAAAGATAACCTGGAAAAGAAAAGCAGCCGAAGACTGCTACGAACTTAGCACCGTTGAAGGAGAACAAGTCTAGTACGGCGGAGGACGCATTGCTATGGAGACAGCGCAACTCCCTTTGCAGATCCATGGCCGGAATGAGCGACTGAACTTCGATATTACGGAGATAGGAGACAAGTACGATGTCATCCTTGGAAGACCATGGTTATACGACAGTAACCCACGGATAGATTGGAGAACAGGCCAACTCCATTGGGACTAGGATTCAGTCACTGAGAAGCAACCACGGAACGGTGCCTCAAACGAACCTCTCAAGACTCCTGAAGCGAAGAGATTTCTAGCATACCTACGGATAAAGGATGCAAACGCTAGGACGTTATCAGCAACAGACATTAGCAAGGAAGACCGACTTCTGTCTATCCCAGAAGAATACCGGCAATACCAGAAGCTATTCGCCGAAGAACTCGAGACCGGACTCCCGGAACACAGCAACTACGACCACGAGATACCCCTTAAGGAAGGGAAGGAGCCAAAGCTAGAAGCAATCTACGGACTCAACCAGAAAGAAATGGAAGTACTCGACGCTTACCTCGAAGAAAATCTACAGAAGGGATACATCAGACCCTCTATATTACCAGCGGGATACCTAATCCTATTCGTACCAAAAAAGAACGGCAAACTACGACTCTGCGTCGACTACCGGAAACTCAACGACATTACGATCAAGAACTGCTACCCACTACCGCTCATCTCCGAACTACGAGACCTGTTGCACGGAGCACAGTGGTTTACAGCACTCGACCTAAAAGGAGCCTATAACCTGATCCGGATGAAATCAGGTGAAGAATGGAAGACAGCGTTTCGAACACGCCGAGGACATTACGAGTACCTTGTGATGCCCTTCGGACTCACCAACGCACCCGCGACATTCCAGACGATGATCAACCACGTCTTACGAGAATTTCTAGATGTGTTCGTCGTAGTTTACCTCGACGACATCCTAATCTTCTCCAAGACTCTGGAAGACCACAAAAAACACGTATACTAAGTACTGCGGAAACTGCAAGACGCCAAACTCCTAGTGGAACCCGAGAAGAGCAAGTTTCACGCTAAAGAAGTCGAATTCCTAGGTTTTACGATAGCCCTAGGAATCCTCAAAATGTCCAAAGACAAAATCGCAGCAGTACGAGACTGGCCTACACCACAGAACGTTAAGGACGTACAATCCTTTATTGGATATGTGAACTACTACCGACGGTTCCTAGAAGGGTACTCAGACAAAAACGACCCTCTCACGAGACTCTCGAAGAAAGATGTTCCCTGGCAATGGGAAGAAGAACAAGAACAAGCCTTCAACGAGATCAAACAACAAGTCACATCGGAACCAATACTTGTTATACCAAACCCCGAGAAACCATTCGAAGTCGAGACCGACTCCTCAGACTACGCTATAGGAGGACAACTAGGCTAACGAGACGACGAAGGACGACTATACCCTTACGCCTTCTTCTTACGCAAGTTACACGGCCTAGAACTTAACTACTAGATACACGATAAGGAACTTATGGCAATTATCGAGGCATTTAAAGAATGGAGACCGCAACTCTCAGGAACCAAGTACGAGGTCAAAGTATACACCGACCACAAGAACCTCGCATACTTTACTACATCGAAAGATCTTAACAAACGACAAATTCGATGGTCCGAATTCTTGTTAGAATTCAATTTCAGAATCATCTACCGGAAGGGCAAGGAGAACGGCAGGGCCGACGCCCTCAGCCGACGACCGGACCACGAGGTCTAGGTACCTAAGGAAACCCGAGTTATCCTCAAAACAGACAAAAACGGAGACCTTGTGCCAGCAGCCAGACTCTTAATGATGGCTAGAAGAGACAGTACTAGCACGCCTGGAAGGATGTCTCCTAAAGCTATTAGGGAGATACACTCCGCACCCGCACATGGTCACCAAGGCGTAACCAAAACGTGGAAACGCATCCGTCAATACTACGACAAAACGGCTATACGACAAGAAGTATCTTTAGCGATTAAGGACTGTGAGGTTTGCGCAAAAAGCAAACCCAGCCGACATCAGCCTTATGGAAAGATACAGCCGCTCCCAGTGCCGCAAACCGCATGGGAATCCATCTCGCTGGACTTCGTCACTAAGTTACCTAAGTCCCGAGAACCGATGACCAACGTCCACTACGACAGTGTCCTCGTCATCGTCGACAGACTCACAAAGTACTCATACTTCATTCCGTACATGGAGTCAAGCACTGCAGAAGACCTCGCCTACAAGTTTCTGCAGGTGATCGTAAGCCAACACGGAATGCCGAAGGGAATCGTATCCGACAGAGACAAGCTGTTCACTTCCAAGTTTTGGAGATCCCTGATCTCGCAGCTAGGATCTGACTACAAGATGTCTACCGCTTTCTATCCGCAAACCGATAGCCAGACAGAACGAATCAATCAGATCATGGAAACCTACCTACGCTGCTACGTCAACTATTAGCAAAACAACTGGGTCTAACTGCTACCTATGGCCTAGTTCGCCTACAATAGCGCAGTAGGAGAAAGTATAAAAGAATTACTATTCTACTTGAACTACGGATTCAACCCGACAGCCTATGGACAACCCCGACAAGGCCTAACAGCTCTGAAAGCTGTGGTAGATATCAACAAACTTAAGGAAATCCAACGAGATCTTCCTAGAGACCTTGAATTTGTGCGCGAACGCATGCGCAAATACGCTGACAAGACAAGAGTTGAGGGACTAACTCTGAAGGAGGGGGATAGCGCATACCTTCTCCGCCGGAACATCAAAACAAAACGACTAAGCGATAAGTTGGACTTTAAGAAACTTGGACCCTTCGAAATTACGAAGAAGGTATCTAACGTCAACTTCAAACTCGCACTACCAGACACTATGAAGTGTCATCTAGTTTTTCATATTTCACTTCTCGAGCCAGCACCAAAAGGATTACGAACTATGGACTACATCGAAGTCGACCCGGAATAGGACTACGAGGTCGAAAGGATCCTCGATCACATCGATCAGCACGATGACACAGAAATACAATACCTAATCAAGTAGAAAAACTACGGATACGAAGAAAACACATGGGAACCCGTATCAAACTTGGAGCACGTACAAGAGGAACTTTAAGAATACTGGACGCAATGGGAAACACGACAGCATGCCAAAGTCATGCAAAGACCAATACACAACCCTCGCGTCAGAAACCCTCAACCTAAGTTTCGACCAACTAAGAAACCCTAGGGTAACAAAACGTTTCTTCGCCTAGGAACACCTAGCCCTGAGTAGCCGAGGAACCTCTAACACTCCCCGCACCCGCGCTATCCACCAGAGGACCTAAACCTACAAACTCGTCACCAAAACCAAAAAGGGACTAAGGAGGATCATTCCCGAGACCCACTGCCTGGAGGTTACTAACGACGAACCTTTCGTAAGCATCTAAGGCAGGTAGGACTTCGTCGTCCGCCAGGACGCTATCCTCCCTGTCAACCTCCTGCATACTATGCTTAAAAACTTCGGTCTGCCGCTCCCGAACCATCTTACGGACCGTCCGAATCCGTTTCAGACGACCCGCAGCATCCGCCATTTGAACTTGCAAACGAGCAAACTCTTGATGAAGCGCGAATAGCTCCTTACCCGCTTTCTCTTCTTTCTCATCCCACTCCTTTTGCTAAGAGTTTAACTTCTGAACTAGAAGCAAACATTAGCAACCCCCAGAATAGCGAAAATACAAAAACACGACTTACGAGTAGACGCTACGAGGACGCCGTTACAAGGTTTCTTCGCCTCGATGTAAGTCTTACAGCGTGTAGACTTCTTGCTAAAACGACACGGGACCTTTGCACGGAAACAACGAGTGCAAGGCATGTCGCTAGCAATCGATCGGGACTCTACGTATTCAATAAGCGCAGCTCTCTCACGATCTTTTATCATAGTCAAGTGCGACTTTGTCTTTCGAACGCGACCTGACATGGTGTCGGCATCATGAAAAACAAAGGAAGCAAATTTGTGGATCCCCAACCTGGGACTAACGACCTACCTATACTCAGGTCTCGAGGACAAGACCTTTAAGAGGGGAGCTGATGTTACGACCCGACAGTTAACAGACTACTGACGACGACCCCGCAGGGGCTCAGCGGTTATAGGTTTGATTGATTGATTGATTGATTGATTTATTCCTACTCGGTTATGAAGCCGCTCTTATGCCAGCAGCTATGCCCGGAAAGCAGGGTTTGGCAGGTAGCCGAAGCGTCGACAATGAACAGCGACGCCCCACTTCGCCCTGATGTTGCATCAGGGCCAGCTATCCCCAAGCTCCCCACTATGTTCTCTATTCTGTGTGTTTGTGCCCTCTGTTGAAGAAGTGTGTTGCTCTCCTGTCTGCTTTCTCGCTTTTGTGTTGCTCTCTAGAATGCTTGTTTTGCGTCCTCCTGCTTCGGTTCAGTTGGTGCTGGTAGCACCGTATCTGGTTCTTTGTACCTACAGTCTCCCCCCAGCGCTCAGCTTTGTCTCTTTGTTTTGTCCGTATCCTCCCGGACTTGTATGTGCCGTTTTCTCAGTTGCATCTGTAAATTCTTTGTTGCCTCCTGCCGGGTTCCTATGTGGCCTCTTGTTTCTTGCCTGTTGACCACTATTGCCCTCCACCACATTGGCCCAAGGGTCTTCCACGAAGCACAATGCTCCACTGACTCCGACATGTTCGATTACTGGGTATGAGAGCTCCCGCACAGATTCCGCAGACATTGTCGCGCGTTGAAGGGACACCAATCCTTCTTCGCAAAAGGGGCGACAGGGGACCAGTCTGTCTGTGGTCTGTAGTATTGTGTGGCATCGATCGTAGCATGCCTAATGCCTGGTGCTTTCTCCGTGCGGAAGGTGATACTGTTCTGTCGGACTCATCTTCGTCGTTGTGGGACGTTGCAAACTTTGTCGGGGGTGACAGGTGACCCAAAACCTGTCGGCGGCTGTTGTGTTGAAGTTGATTGTTTGGGCGCAGTCTTAGTGCTTCGTGTAGCGGCTTGTGGCTCGCCTGTGGTGGTGGTAACAGTGTTGTCTATTGATATGTCGTATTTTGCGGCTTGCTCTCAAGTTTTTCATTGTAGTCGGGGCGTGCTCTGCGGCCATCTTGGGCCCCTTTGGGACGTAGAATCAAGGCCGAGGATGGCATTGCATCGAAGGGGGCTCTGTGGCCGCGAGCACGCGTATTTGGGGCCGTTTTTGCTCCGATTTTCAAAAATTTCGTTCTCGCTGTTGTTGATGTTTTTTTTCCAGCGGTTATAGGGACGGCCGTCAGCCGTTACGTCGTAACAACCCCCACGGAACGGAAGAACTAGGATACAGGTCACGTGACGATAAGCAGGACCGACGGACGATAAGCGGTCCTGGGACAGGACCGACGGTGCCAAGGGCGGTCCATGGCGATGGACCGACGTCCTGGGTGTCGGTCCCCCAGGATCAGGAAGTGTTCAGCATGGAACCAGACTTGTATATAGTTGGGACTCGAGTCCTCTCGAGTCCTACCTTTCCTAGTTCTTCAGCAATCAACTTTGTGATTACCCTAACCGGTACTTTCAGCTATACCTAAGTGACGACTACTCTACGACTCTTGTTGAGGCCTTGACTGATCACCAAGACCTTTGAAGATCTACGATCTATTCGACCAGGACCACGGAACGACTGTTACTACTCTCAATCCCTGGCTTACTGTTAACACAAACCCACTGTCAGTTAGCTGGCCGTAACACCATTCAACAAATCCTTTAGTATTAAGAAATTAATCCTTACGATAATAACTAATAACTATATTTCTTCGGGATACTAGCTAAGAAGAGGAAAATATATTTAAATCTTCTATCTAAGCTAACGATTACCTAATCCTCGACCTAAAAGCTAAGAAATACTATAACTTATTTTAAAGATAATATATTATTAATAGCTATAAGCTATACGTCGTTAATAAATATAAATATAAATTCTACTTACGTAGATAAAGTATTAAGCTTATTACGTAAGTCTATACTAAAGTCGAACTACTTATATAGGATTTAGTAAGATATAAGAAGGAGGAAGGTATCGCTATCTTTATACTTAATTATAAGTACTTAATAAGATATTAATACGATAAGATAATATCGTAAGAAGAATATACTTAGGATATTTATAAGGTATATTACAAAGATAAATCTAGAGCATAAAGACTATTATAATAACCTAGTAGACTATCTAAAGAAATACCCGACCTTATTATCTTATAAAAAAAAAAACGTAAGGGAAAGAAATCGTTAAAAAATAAGTAAAGCTATTCTTAGAAGGATAAGAAATAGGCTTTAGGGAAAAGTCTCTATATATAACTATAGTAAACGACGTATATCTTAAGATTATAGTAAACCTAGGAGGTTATACTACGGAGGCTTTAATCGACTCGGGAGCCTAAGGAAACTTTATATCCCTACGAATAATATAAGAAAGAGAAATACTATGGGATAAGAAATAAAACCCCTACCCTTTTAATACGGTAGAAGGGAAAAGAGTTAAGTATAGCGGAGGTATTATTAATTCGGAGACCGCGCTACTCCCTTTGATTTACTATAGCTATTAGGAATATATTACGCTTAATATTACTAAGATAGGACGATATAAGGTTATCCTTAGAATCCTATAGCTAAGAAAGAATAACCTTTAGATAGACTAAGGAAAAGGCTTAATTATATACGATAATCTAGCCCCTAAGTAGCGCTTGCAAAAGCCTTTACGCGGATTACTAGCGGTATAAAGAACTAGACTAAGCTTATTCCTTAGAACGAAAGATATACGTACTAAGATGCTAGCTATAATAGCTACTAACAAAGTTATAGAAAACCTACTATCGAAGATACCTATTAAATATAGGATATATAGCAAGCTTTTTATATTAAAGCTCGAGACTAGACTACCGGAATATAATAGATACGATTATAAAATCAAACTTAAGGAAGGTTATAAACCTACCTTTAGTAAAATCTACCTTCTTAACTAAGAAGAAATAAACGCTTTTAATAAATAGCTAGATAAGAACCTAGCTAAAGGATTTATCTAACCTTTAATATTACTAGCCGGATACTTAATACTCTTTATACTAAAGAAAAATAGTAAGAAACGACTATACGTAGATTATTAGAAATTAAACGATATTACTATTAAAAACTATTACTTATTACCTTTAATCTTAGAACTACGAGACCTACTTTATAACGCCTAATAGTTTACTACCTTAGACCTTAAAAAGCTTATAATCTTATCCGAATAGCTAAAGAAGATAAATAAAAAGTAGCTTTTAAGATAAGGCGAGGATAATTTAAGACTTTCGTTATGCCGTTCTGTTAGAAGTATAAGTATATTATACTTCTATTTTACTTATTTATCCTATTTAGTCTTATCTAAGACTTAGTAGGACTTACAAAAGTAACTAGCTAAGAATGGCTGCTTGCTAGTTTAAACATATGACATTCAGATCCCTATGGAATACTCTCTTTAACCTTATCTAAAAGTCTATTTAGTTAAAGAAGATTCTAGTCTGATTTATAAGCTGCTTTATAAGCTAGTTGACGTATATACTTACGTATACTAAACCTAGCTTATAGCTTCCTATATTAGCTATTATAGGCGACGTTATACTACTATATAACTAGCCTAATTCTCTCCCTTAGCTAGCTATTAGTTCCTCAACCAACTCAGCTTCAATATAAGCCTATACATTCTTTACTATTAAAAGCCCTACTTCATAAGTACAAGTTCCCTTACTCTAATACCCTGTTATAAGGATATCGTACTACCTACGAGATTCCTACCTACCGTTCCAACACGTTCAGACTTACTAACATACCTACTACTTTCTAAACTATAATTAACTATATACTTAGGGAATACCTAGATAAGATAGTTATTATCTACCTTAACAATATACTTATATTCTTAAAGATACTTGAAGAATATAAATAATATATCTATTAAATCCTTAAAGTATTAAAAGTAGCTAAACTGCTTATAAAACTAGATAAAAGCCTTTTCTATAGATAAGAAGTCGAGTTCTTAGGATTTACTATTATACCTAGATAAATCAAGATGTTAGTAAACAAGGTTAAAGCTATTAGGGATTAGCCTATGCTAGAAAACCTTAAAGACATCCTAGCATTCTTAAGATTTATTAACTTCTACTAAAGATTCTTTAAAAACTATTCTAAGACGATATTACCCCTTACTAAGCTTATACGGAAAGACGTTTTATAAAATAGTTAGGAAAATAATAAGAAGTATTCTAAAAGGTAAAAGACTATATTAGCTTAGAACCTATTATTATAATCCTAAACCTTAAGAAACCTTTTAAGTTAGAAACCGATACTTCGGATTCCGCTATAGGAAGACAACTTAGGTAATAAGATAAAGATAGTATTCTATACCTATATGCTTTTTACTTTCGGAAACTTTTAAGACTAGAGCTTAATTACTAAATTTATAATAAAGAACTTATAATAATTATCAAAGCATTTAAGGAATAAAGACCGTAACTTTTAGGAACTAAGTATTAAGTTAAGGTCTATACCGACTATAAGAACTAGTATATTTTATAATATCTAAAGAACTTAATAAGCGATAAATACGATAGTTAGAATTCCTATTAGAATTTAACTTTAAAATTATTTATTATAAAAGATTAGAAAATAGTAAAGCTAATACTTTTAGCTAACGACTAGACCTTATAGTCCCGGTCTTAAAAGAAACTTAAGTTATTTTAAAAAATACGATAGAAGACTTATGCTAGTATAGAAACTCTTAATAATTAGTAAAAGAGTTAAGACTAATACGACTAGAAGAATAACTTACGACTAGAT